TAACTTATGACACTGACTAATAAAAAGAGGATTTTTAACATATTATTATTTACAGAAACTGTTTGCTTGCAGCCCAAGTAATGTAATTAATAGTTTCCTAGTATTTGTCATTTTGATCTTATGTTTTTAAAGCCTCCGATTATTTACAGCTATCCATCTTTCAAACCTGGGTATATTTTTCTCACTGGCGTGTAATATTGTCCGTCAGTGCCCCTCTAACGGTATAAGTCTTCTTAGCAGCTTTGTGTTTTAGTATTGCTGTGTCATGGATTGAATACCCTTTAAGTGGGTATTGTAAGATGGGAGTAAGAGAAGCAGTCGAATTATTGACTTTCATGCTTCACGTGTGCCTGGACCGACTCCTGTTACACCCAGATGCCTCCAGAGAAGGAATACAGCTTGCAACACCACTTCATCAACTGGGTTTCGGTCTGTTCTTTCTCCACTGTTGCCCACAGCACCCAGCTGCACCATAACCTAGCTTATAAAAGTAGAAAGAGAAGACTGTCCCATTTTCTGCAGCATTGTGATGAGGTGAAGAGCTAAGTAAAATGCATACACATAATTTATACCCATATTTGTTTGTGCCTAAATAAATTATTATATATTTTAAAATAATATTGTCATATATATGAGTATGTATCAAATCATATCATTATGGTCTGTTGTTCATTCTACGTGGGTGATTTTTCATCATTATTCTGGACAGACAGCCTTGTGCAACTTCTTCTTAAAGCTTATTCTCAGACAGGAAACATGTGCCATGGGGTTTCCAATCTTGGTCCCTGAGGGCTGGTGTGTCAACAGGTTTTCAGGCCAGATGTGCTCTTAGTGACTTGAATCTAGTCATATTTGCTTAATTTGATCAGTTCAAGGACTTTACCAGCAATCAAGGGTCTGGTGCTTTAAAAGGGGAACTACAGTCCCAGTTTCTTAGACAGGTTATTAAATCCTGGTAACAAAATGTTATAAATTCTGAATTAAGCATAAAATAGCCCTTCCTGCTCACTAGTGACCGTAATTACTAATTTAATACAATGTATGAACAAATAAGGACAGGTTGTGCAGCAGATATGTTCCAACATGATCTGCATGCAGTAAACAAGTAAATAGTATTTATCGGCGATATGTTAAATTAAATTCATCTGCACTCACTCAAATTGGCAGTCTAGTTAAAGTATCTAAAAACTGTTGCCTTGTATGTGTCGGCTTCATAACATTATATATAAATTAATACAGCAGCAAAATGTGCTTGGCCAAAAGCATGTGCTTTATTGCAACAGAAACAAATATTATTTTTCAAATACTGTTTATTTGGGATAGGATATGTGTATTGAAATTTGTTCTGCTTTGGAGTATTACGATTATGAAGGCTGACAGTTTGTAATATGCAAAATATTTTCTTTTCAGATACTGAAAGAAAACTTGTACTCAAACCAGGTGCCGGTCCCACCACTTTTTCCCATAAAAAGCAACCAATGAGAAGAGAATGCAGTTAGAGAGTGATATCATTGACTGATGGAAAATCTGTCTTCACGATTTAAGTGATCCTTTTTATCAGACTTTTGTTCAAGATCTAAATTAAGATGTGCATTAAATATGGTTTTAAGACTAATAGCTATCTGATTAAAATATGTATTCACAAGCCTGCTTGTTTTAAATGTAATGGGGTCATTTCACGTCACCAGATGCCTCATTTTGAATCACAGACAATAAAGGCAATACGGCACTGTGCATACCTGGAAATGTATACTATTTTTCTATGTTAATTGGAGATTTTATACATTACTGTGTACTTTGTACTTTTATTGTGGTTGAAAATTAACGGATCAATGCCAATTATTTATAACCCTGAAATGCAAAAAAAAAAGAGTTGCTGTTCCTCTTTAAAGAAGCCTAGAAAACACTCAAACTCACCTGCCATCCAGGACCAAGATTGGGGTCCCCTGCTCTATGCATTTATATCTATTGCTGGGCATTATATTCTACCGCTGCTATAGTTTTCCATGTATTTCCCCCCGAGCCGGATTGAAAAGATGCAAGAGTACTTTGTCAGTGCAGAAAATGGAAATCTAAAAAGAAAAATTGAAGGACAAAGTCAAGCCGAAGACGCAGAGTGTCAAAACTTGGCACACATTTACTGTCTTGATCAGCTTTGATTTGGGTCTATCTTGCAAGAATGCCATGTGTTGGAACACAAAATCACATGTAACTCTTTCAGGAAGATTAACTTCCCATAGGCAGTTAAATGTTCCCCATTTCTTAATTTATAAATTTAGTTCCTGTCTGTTTTTCACTAGCAGCCATGTCACCCTGCAACTTACAATTGGCAACCCACTGAAGCTAAGCCTGTGTGAGCCTGGTCAGTACCTGGATGGGAGACCTCCTGGGAAAAACTAAGGTTGCTGCTAGAAGAGTTGTTAGTGAGGCCAGCAGGGGGTGCTCACATGTCCTAATGCCCACGTGGGTCCTCATGCCCCAGTATAGTGACTGGGACGCTATACTATAAACAAGTGCCGTCTTTCGGATGAGATGTAAAACTGAGGTCCTGACTCTCTGTGGTCATTAAAAATCCCAGGGTGTCTCTTGAAAAGAGTAAGCGTGTAACCCTGGCGTCCTGGCCAAATTTCCCATTCCTCCTAATAATCCCCCTCTATGAATGCTACATTACTTTGTTCTCTTCCCCACTCCGATGGCAGGTGGAGCGACGCGCCGGTTGGAGTATTCTCGGTCGCATTAAATGGCAGCGTCAGCTCAAAGATTTGGTTCAAACCACCAAATGGAGACGGGCGTGCTGACAAGCGGACCCTGTTGATAGGGATGAGAGTTCCTGTCTGTTTTTCTGTTCCTGTCTGGTGGAAAGAAAACATTATGATAAAAGCTCAAAGTACAATAACTTTGTTAAATAAACATAATTAAGGAGAAGCCAAGTACTAGTATTTCTTTCCAATTCATTGACATTTGCAACCTATTTGCTTTATGACAAAACAAGCTCTAAGCAAGCTGTAATTGCTTCACATATATGGTGTTCATGCAGTAGGAATTTTTCAAAGTAAAGTTTACGCAATCATGCTTGAATTTGTACTTCCTCTATAACATCATCAAATGCAGTTTTCACAAGATTGCAATCTATTCCGCCAACCTTTTTAATCCTGGAAATAGAATAAACCCATGCTGTTCAGATATGGGCAATATTTCTTCATCATGGCAAATAACAGCTAAGATGTGCAAATTTCCTCATCCTTTAGAAGTGTATTTAAACAGCTGTGGTACATAAGATGTGAACTGAACTGAAGTTGCTTCAGAATTTGTTTCCTCCTCTCCCAGTACATTATGGACACAGACATGTCAGCAAACAATTCTCATTCACATAATTGAGCATTACACAACTGAAATTGAGACAAGAAACTTCCTGCTTGAGAGATTTCTTTAATTAGGCTTGAAGATTAAGCTGTTCTTTTGGGTGGGGAATTCCACGGGTGTATTAAGTGGATTTATTTTATACAACTGGGTATGCTCCTTTGCCTCCTGACAAGTTAAAGAGCTATTAAAGACTCTTGTTTGTTTTCCTCAATGGCTTTAACCCTAATACATATCTACTAGTAAGACATCACAAATCGTAATAACTGTATATATATGAAAGGACACTAAAATGTAGTCTTTCCAATCAGGAAAACACACAAAAAACATTACTTAAATTATTAGCTCTTACCCAGCTCTACTATACTCCTTTCTACCTTATGTTTCCTCGATTTCTCCTGTCTCCACCTCACACCTACAGGTAGGTCATGTCAACTTTGTCCTTACGTTCTCTGCCTGTTCAAATGCTATAAGTCCCTCTTTTGCATAGACTGAATGTTAAGGCACATAATGTAGATACATTCTTTACAATTAAAATCTTGTTCCCGATTGAAACAATCAATAATATGCAAATAATTTGCAAGTGGCTTTTGGTAAATATATTTAAAAGCTAATGTTTTTCCCTTCGTATCTAAATTTAGAATGACCTACTGGTCTCTCTCCCTCGTCAATCTCCACTCACAAAAATCTTTCAAGTGTCCTCTGAGATACAGTATGTCATCATGATCTGAACATTGATCCACAGCATGTAAAGACACCTTTCCTGCTCACCACCTGTCCAAAACCCCCTCTGTCCTTCTTACATATCCCTCCACCAGAGAGCTCCAGCTCACAAGAACCATTATCTCATGGGCAGGGCTGAAAGATGACTGGGCGTTTCTGGGACATGAACATGTTGTGGCTTATCTCCTCAGTGTTTAATTACATCTACTGGAACACACAATAACAAGTCACATAGAAACAATTCCAACATTTCCTTTCCGTGAAAAAAATTACAGCCTTCTTGACACAGCTTCTACAGCTGAACAATTTTAAGCGCTAAAGATATCTGTGACTTCAAGCTGACCATTTCTGTAGGAATATATCAGGGAATAAAAGACATGTCACGGAACCGATACGTGGAATAGAAGGATCCTTGTGCGTGACCGGAATCCCACAGGACACAGAGTAGCAAAGGGACAAACCAAAAGACGAAATCCAAAGGCTGGGTCGATAAGGGAGGCAGAGGGTCCGGTAACGAGAGAAATCCAAAACAATTCAAAGGCAAAATCCAGAAGGCGAGGTCAAGAGGCAGAAGCAGAAGATTCGTAACAGGAGATCAGTCAAAAGGTTTGGAAACGCGCACTGGAGAATACTAAGGCTTCTCAATAATGAGCGTGGGAAGGTGTGCGAAGGGGGTTTAAATACTGAAAGGAAAGGGGTGTGATTGGATGATTGGTTAGGGAGTGAGAATTTGAGGAATCTGATGCATGTGAGAATGTGCTGGGTTCAATCAGGGATGAGATTGGGAAGCAGAGGTTCCGGGAATGTAACGTCGTTTGCGAGGGAGAGTGTGGGGCGTGACAAGACAGCTGTCCTGTAAGGAGGTGTATAGATGCCCCTGTTTCTGATAAAATAATGGAAAGACATTCAAAAACAGCTACTGATAGAACGATATTTTTTTTTATTAAAGTATCAAAAACAATTCACATACACAGTAGAGAAATGTCTCCTTAATGCATTTCTGTCATGTATTAGGTTTACCTGAACAGAGCAGATAACAGTTTAACATCATTAGGCTACAATTTAACATTTTATCTTAAAATGGACATACATCTTGTAGTTAGAATAATACCACTGATAATTATTGTGTAACAATGAGAAACAAAGCTTAATACAACAGTAAAAAAATCACATTACGCAAGTTGAGCTTTCCTTACGTTAACATACAGTATTTGGTAGTACCTTAGTCACGTCTTGCATGCTAGCAGGTAAACTATTCTTATTACACAAAGTAATAGCAAACACAAATAAAATATTGACGCCTGCGTCTCTTACAATCCCTTTCTTCGAACACAGCATTATTTTGTCTTATAGAGGCTCAACATTTATGATAAATTATTTTTCGCTCAAATCACAATTTGTCACTGGCTCACAAAACCTTTTTTCCCCACTTTATACAACAGGTACGGTACGAATTAAATTGTCAGTCCTACTGTGTTTTCTTTAGTTTCTAGAAATCAGTGTAAAAGAAAAACACAGTTTTTTTCAAGGGAAAAAAAACATTAAACAATTTTGGTGCTTCAAGAGTTTCACTATGAAGTAGTTTTAGTTTTGGTCATGCTACGCTCAGTGGTGCTGGTCTCAAACTAAAAACTTTCAGAAGTGAATTGCTACAGTAAAGTGCAGTGAGAACAGAGCTTCGGGTAGCTGTGAATGCCTTAACTATTTATGTTGGCCACATCTGTGAAGCTTGAGCACTGGGAATTGTAATGCAATTGTACTTGCACGTCCCACTGTTACATTCAAGGAGCAACTGGTTTCTCCTGGCTTTATAGTCTTTCAGTCACACACAAGACCAAACTGTGCTTGTTAAGAAACAATGAAAATGTCTTGTACAGCCATGAATTCTGCACGGCCTCTCTAACCACACACACACACCACCACCCCCTCCTTCACTATTCACAGTTTGTTTTTTTAAAAAAATACTTCTGCAGTTCACTGTGTAACTGGAACACAGACCTACAAGATGTTTCCCTATTCTGATCACACCAGGTAATGTACAGGAAAGGAAATAAGGCCATCCCCCCCAGCTGATGCAATGTACAAAATGGAAACTGAACAGCTTTGAAACTGGACTGCAGAATTTTAGACACACAGGTAAAGAGATTCCATATAGGTGAACAACAGATTGGTACACTATAACCTACGAGAGTGGGCTACAGCATCTGCACTTTCTTCCCCACTGCTAAACCATTGGATGAGGTGTTTTGCGTGTTTTGTGTCATCTTGTTATTGCTGCATAGTTTATTACAGATTTTAACAAACTGATTTTCAAAGAATAGCTTCATAAAAGACTTTTCACAGATGAATGAATAGTAACAGCAGTTTCTGCGACACACATCATATATGATGGATGAGTATTTAAGTGGAAACAACCACAAGAATCACAGATGGTCAGCCATAAATCCATTACTCCTACAGGAAAGGGATTCCTATTTTTCGACTCATGGAAAACAGATGGATCTACAAAACAAGACTTCCCAGCAGCAACAATAGAAACAATCCAACAAAATACAGACTACAATCAACACACGTTTTTCATAGAGGTAAGTGCTTTCCCTATCAGCAGAGGCAGAAGACACGAATACACAACTTTCAGCCTTGGTTATAAGGACTGAAACACTGTGAATGTGCATGGCAATTCTGTGGGGCAACACGCAGATTCCCTGGACTCGACCCCGAGTCTGTACAGTTTTTTTTTTTGTGAGACATCTCCATCATCTGCTGTGCCCCTTTTTGCCTTTCTGTGCTTCGGCCTTGCTTGTACAATGAGTAGTAAAAGCTTATAAAGGTTATACATTATCACCGAGGACAACAGTGTATTAAAGAAACAGATAAACTCGTAGGATATTTTTTAGAGTCCTATGACTTTTTCGTTTCCCGGTTGCGGTTGAGTTGCAGCAGGTGAAGGTACCTGGCACCCTTGCCCAGTCTAGTCCTTGTCTGCAGACGTCACTAAGGTTCAGAGCGCAAAGGGCGACACCCCAAGGTGTGATGGCTTAGTTTCCGCTGGCACGTAGCTAAACACCTGTGAGTCCCCGAAGACGCAAGTCAGTGGAGTTCGCGCGTGGCTGTGGCCGCTGAGGTCTGAGATAGTCTGGCTGTGCGCGAGCCCTTCAGCCCTGTAGCGTCCCCTCCTTGATCTGCTGGATGAAGAGGTTCCTTTCGTCCTCGGGGGTCCTGCCGTTCTGCGCGCGGACGATGCAGGTGGGCCGGTGCAGGTTCAGCATGTACACCAGCTGCTGCTTCTCGTTCTTCAGCTCCTCTATCTGGGCTTTCAGCTCCGCGTTGATGGACTCCAGCTTTTCGGACTCCTGGAAAGACAGGACAGAGCGCTGAGTGCAGGCCCTTCTCTCCTGATTTCCCGCAAGGTTTTCCTGACGCAAGCATAAACTTTTTTGAGGACAGATTACATCCTGCGAAAGCAGACATACCAAACTTAGCCTGAGGAACCCCCAGGGAACTAGGACTACTGTCCTATAACATGTTCTGCGTCACATTCACTTCTGCTTGTTGTGCCAGGTAGGACACAGAAAGAGAGCATTATACCCAATATGAGATTAAAAGAAGACAGGCTTAAAGATATGTTCTTTATAATTGAAATGACAAAGACCACCTCCTCTAGTTGTAAAAGAGATTACTTCTGAGCCTAAAGTGATCTGAAAAGTCTATTTTTTAGGAGCTCAGCTCAGTCTTACTAATAATTAAACTGTAAAAGAGTCTTTCACTCCTCAAAGCTGAAGCAAGATTTTTAGACTGTTTGCCACTTCTTAGAGATAACTAGGCTCCACAGGTGGCTAATACAACTGTCCTAATCTCTCAGTTACACACAGGCTGTGGCTGATGAGCAGCACACTTGGAAAATGATAGAGAAATTCATTCCATCCACAAAGTTCCCATCACGCTGTGAAAAAATAGTTCTCCTTAAAGACTGCTATTTGTGCCACCACTACAAAATTTGAAGCTATCCATGAAATGAACAGAACATGGGCAAGTATTTTCTTTAAATAATTAGAACAGGCAGCATTGTTTATTTCATAAATATTCTTAGATTGCTGAATGAAGCCCAGACAAATACTGAAGTGAATCATAACTATTATGTGCTTTTGTTTACTTTAGTGCTGTAGTATGAAGTATCTGGCACACAGTAAGCTATTTTCTACATCAGGCAAACTAGAACACTTTCCTATATTGTTAATATATAAATTTATATGGATAGCTGTTTTGTAATAAACACATTAAGGAAATTAAAAACACGTGAAAACAATATAATATAATCTCCAACTGATAATATGAAAATCTGAAAATCCCACACATTGTTTAGATCCATGTTACAGTATTAAGGAATGAAAGCATTTTTGTAAACTATTTCACAGAAAATCCTAGCCTTTCAATTAATGGGAAAGCCCTGAGTACCATACATTTTCTGGAAGAAGTTGTTCAATGCTGTACCAGCCACTATTACACAAACTATTGCAGTTTCATGAGTAAGAAAATATTTGTCATTATTTTGTCATTTTTCCCTTGAAGGCACCTAGACAACACTTGAAATTACAGGTTTCATTAGAAAAGATCTATTCTAAATCAACATTCTTACTCAAGGAAATTCCTGTTGTTAACAGTGAACTTTTTCTGTATTGCTTTAACAGTCTGTATATACTTATATGTCCCTACTATGTGTTTTGTGTAATTTTGGCCAGTTCCTTCATCCTATCTTTTCACCAGAACATACCTTCTGTAGACAGTCTGTTCTTTCTTTCTTCTTATTCCTGCACTTTGCAGCAGCTATCTTATTTCTTTCCCTTCTTCTCTTTCTCCTTTCACACTCTTCCGGTGTAATCTGGAAAGAAGATTATCCTAAACATGAGTGCACAGGAAAAAATAATGCTTTCTTCTTTTTGCAATTTAAGTAGCAAGGGTAAGAACCTCAGAATGATGTGTTCTCAAAATTATTTTGCACCCTTTACCATTTTTGATTGACTTTACAAATATTCCAGATAAGAACGAGGGAAAATGTTGCCAGATGCTGCCAAATTCTAAGCTGATTCAAAACAGCCATATTCACTTAATGTATGAAATCTATTTCATACATTAGGGGCTGGGGTAGGGGGCAGCCCTGTGTGCCCTCAGCCCCAAGCATCTCTCGTGGTAAGGCCCGAGGAGAGGCCAGGGTTTCCACTGAACCGAGGAGGGCTGGTACTGGGGCAGATGTCAGCAGCCATATCGCTCTGCAACTCACAACTGGAAACCCACTGAAGCTAAGCAGGTGTGAACCTGGTCAGTACCTGGGTGGGAGACCTCCTGGGAAAAACTAAGGTTGCTGCTGGTGTTAGTGGGACGAGCAGGGGGTGTTCACCCTGCAGTCCATGTACCCCAGTATAGTGTATACTGTAAACTGGCACCCTCCTTTGGATGAGATGTAAGACTGAGGTCCTGACTCTCTGTGGTCATTAAAAATCCCAGGGTTACTTGAAAAGAGTAGGGGCGTAACCCCAGTGTCCTGCTCAAATTTCCCATTGGCCCTTACCAATCATGGCCTCCTAATAATCCCCCTCTATGAATTGGCTTCATTACTCTGCTCTCCTCCCCACTGATAGCTGATGTGTGGTGAGTGTACTGGCGCACTATGGCTGCTGTCGCGTCATCCGGGTGGTGGTGGAGGGGAGATCCCATTACTGTAAAGCACTTTGAGTGGAGTGTCCAGAAAAGCGCTATATAAGTGTTGGCAAATATTATTATTTCTAACCTCTTCCATTAGAACACAGACAAGATGAACACATGTAAAAAGTTTAACAGAATTTTGGAGTTATATAACACTTTATAACGCTTTTTTATGAAGTACAGATCGGGCATGAAAGTGGGGCATAATTGATATACTGATTTTAAAACCTGGTATTGAAATTTCAAATACATTTTTCTACTTGACAAAATAATCTAGATGTGCGCAGAAGGAGAGAGGCCTTATTTTCCCGGAAGTTCTTATTTATTCGGCAGGAGTCTAGTCAAGTTACTTCTGACAGTTGGGGTGTAAGGCAAGAAAAGGTTGTTGGTTTTTGTTTGTACCTCCTTCTTCACATTTGGCGGCTCGGCGGGACTAGTTTCAGACGTGGTTCCCACGCTGTCGCTGACGGTGGAGCTCATTCCGCTGGACAGGCGCTTGTTCTGAATGGCGAACCGCAGCTCCTCTTTGACCAGAGGCGTGAGGTTCGTGAAGTCGTCGAACAGCAACGACCCCGGCGGGGAGAGGCAGGGGACCACAGCCGACGCGCTGATCTCCGAAGGACCAAGACCGGGATGCTGAAGCATCATCGTGCTGGAGGGGCGAAATTGACACGGTTACAACGCGAGCCTTTTAATACTCACGGCTACAGGCGCAGCCCTGGCATTAAGGTCATGAAACATCGATCGCACCTGAGATCAAATCTCCGACCTCACAGTTTTCACACTGATTGGAATGGTATGACTTTTGTAGGCTGCTTTCAAGTTAAATAACGGCACGCACATAAACAGAGGTAGAAGGACAAAGCGTGTGTACTCAGTTTACACAAGGTGTAACTACCAGTTTTAATTACACAGACGTATCAAGCATAGGAAGGCTACCCAGTTCAAAATATGATGTAAAACGGAAGTTGTATAGAGGCTACTCACAAAATTTGTACTCTTTTCATTTAAAATGTCTCTCTTCTCTTTTACTTGATTTGAAGAAAATCGGACACTTGGAACACCCTCTCTTAGACCAGTTAGACTCGACAGGCTAACTTATAATGGCCCGGGGCTGCTCGAAAGCACCAGACAAACCAAAACCCCTTTCTTCCTTACTCATAGGGAGGGAGGGACACGTACAGTAAACCCTGGGAAATTATAGTGGTACTTTTCCAAAACCCTTTTCGAAAATTCCCTCGCACAATATTAAGTGCTTCCTTTTCGGCTGACTAAACCAGAATACGAACTCCCAAGGGTAGAAGTAAAAAAAAAAATACTGATAGGCTTCGTCCAGTGAATTAATTCCAGTAAAAAGACGCGTCCGGTGCTGGTTCGTGTACTGTATGTGCGTGCGGAGGGGGGAACGAAATGAACTACAATGACCCAAAGAGACAGAATAAAAATCACCAGCGGGAACTGGTGTTTGGGAATTACGTGCTTGAATTCACAGAAGGAAGTAACAAAGCGGCGCTCTTACACGCGCCTGCTCCCGCACCGTGGAGCTCAGCCGCCTGGAGGACGCGATTCCTTCATCTCTCCCAGGGCGTCTTTGAACTGACTGGCCCGCAGTCGCCTTGGGACACTGGACTAGCCCTTCCCGGGCCGAGAGTGTTCACTACAGGGCCGGATTAAGTTGTGGTACACGTCAGTAAAACCGATTTATACATTTCTTAACCCCCAACAGAACACCAGCCCTTTTTATCGCATATTTTAGAATTTTAAAAATATTCACTTGGAAATGTGTAAACCTGCAACGTAAACCGCAGTCAGAAAGCTACACAACTAAGTTATCTTATTACTCCAACGTATTGTTTTTTCCCTTTAAAATAAACGGAATTGTTCAATTTCCATTCATGTACTGTATAATGTTTCCGGATAACTTGTTTATGCGACACTGTCATTTGTGAATGCCTGGAAAATTACCACAATAAAAAAAATTCCACAACAAAGAACATTAGTTCTCAGTGCTTACACTGTACTAGCTCTCCCTCCGATTCAGTTGATGCCCTGCTTTGATTCAAACATGCAGGTTCTCCCGAGGTCAATGAGACAGTACTGTTGATCGACAGTTGTTACTTGTCGTGCTGGTCCATTTCCGAATAGGAAAAGTTTATCTGCCTGGGACAATGCATGTACTGTACACTACATGGATATACACGCACATATTCGTATAACACAATCGGGAAAACCCTGCCAAAGCTAAGCAATGTCTACCTAAAACAAGGCGCATAACATCGCTAACAAGAACATTAGCTACGACATGTGAAATCTCATAAACCCTAAGTACAACATTACAACGCGGTCAAAGAAGACAGACACCTCCGATATCCCGGGACAACTGACAAACAGAAACAGAAAGTTTGGGGGCAGACACTATTATAAAACAATTTCGAATGCGTTGTTTAACGCTTAACCGTTTAAATAAATCTCTCATGATGAAAGCAATACCCAATGAGAAGCTTTATTCTGTTTCAGTATGTCCTTTAGTTATGTAGTTTAGGAGTAGTAGGCAGAACTAGAAACTATACAGAAGTCATTTTTCACACTTCGCACAATATCAAGCCGAAACAAATATACAAAAGCAACCAGAGAAGGGTCTTTCTGAGAATGTCTCGCTTACTTTGAGGACTGAATAGGCATCCTGTTTTCGGAGTGCTCACAGTGGATTTGCGTTATAAATCCTCAACCGACAGCACAGGCATGAGATTACGGTACAGTGACACTAACAGCCCAACACCAACTTCCACACCAGCTTCTCGCAAAACATCAGCGATCGGCTCACCTACCTTATACACTGGTTTTGTGCCCGAGTCAAGGAGAACGCTGGGGAGCGAGAAATGGTTTATTGTTGCCTCTTTAGTTTGTAAGAAAACTTACAGATAACGGCGCTGGGTTGCATCACCTCTTTATATAGGAAGCTCTGGTATTTACTAGTACGAGGGCTGGTCAGAGGTGACGTCATTCTATTAATAGCTCAGGGAAGCTTGCTTCGCGATGATGCAACCCAGCAACCCCGCGCAGCACACCATAACAGGACAGGGTTCAATTCACTATTCCCCAAAGGTTTTGGACTCGCAACATTTCACACTAATGAGCCAATCACGACATACCCGGATAATGACTTGATATCCGTGGCATCTAGTGATAATCTTGTAAAAAAAAAAGAAATAAAAAAGATGCTGATGCGTTAAGTGGGGGTGATCGTGGTGATAGTGAGGTGTTGGGGTTTGAGTAAAGTAGTTGGGACAGCTGGTGATAAAGGCTGTCTTCTTCATAAAGGAACATCAGTGTTCAATCACGTTATCATGTAAAACATGACCTTCTTCATCATTACAATCGTTCTAGTAGGTTAATAATTGTAGTAAGAAGAAGATGGGGATGAAAGCATCACAAAAGGTAATATAAATTATGTTTTTGAAGGAACTGAAATACATCGGCCCAACAAGTACTGGCCCCAGAAGTTGGTGGGGGTAGGACCACAGTTGAGAATTTAATGGGCAATACAGTACTTACTATTTTTATTCTGTTTTACTGGTTTTGTTATTTCAGTAAACGAAAGTATGCTAAAAGCAAACAACGCATACTTCCAAGTATTTTCAATTTGTGTTTTAAATACTTCTGTCTACAGAAGGAAGTACCCACCCTTCACCACTGAATTTTACTGTCCAGTTTTCCGTTTGTCTTTTTTAATGCGCCAGTATTTTCATCGTATTTTGCGAGAATGGGCTAATACCGCATTACGATTTGTAAAATACCTTATTCTTTCCACACACTGGTTGTTTTAATTAGTGTACATGATTATCTCGCAGTTCGAAAATAACCGGTCCATATTTTTATCTGGTGTCTAAACTGAAAAAAGATTGAAATTAAATTAATTGACCATTGTCACTTTGGTCTTATCTGTACGTACTCGTCGTATTATGCTGTCTGTCATTTTAATAGTATACTATCCGTAAGATATGAAATTGCGAGATAGTTTTAGACTTGTCCGAACACGCAAAAAGTCGAACATTCTAGGTGTCATGAAAGGACAGCACAGTGAGATTAGGCGTATGGATAGCCAGACGGGAATTTAAATATAGTTTTCAGTAAGAAACATTTGCTTTAATATGAAGTAAACTATATTGTAGTTGTATATGAAATACTTGATTGGGCGGAGTTAACTGTGATCTACTTTAAAGAGTTATTACCTTTACTGCTGCTAAAAAGAACAATGATTATTGGGTGTTGTAATTTTTAATAGGCTATCTGACAATGGTAATAAGTACATAATAGTTTGTGAATTTTAAGAAAGTCATGCAAAAAAGATACATATTTGATTAATTTGTATTTACATTTGTAAATATTTTAATATTCAGATTTTGTCTCTGAAGCTTTATTATGACATATTTTGTGAGAAGTGCCTGTAGTAGGGATGAAAAAGTAAAAAAAAAAACTGTATTTCTGAAAGATACCTGACAAGTTAATAGCCTGTTGCTTTTTACATTCAGTGGGCAGGCTGTTTACACTGACTGTTGTTTGATTAAGAAATGTGCCTTTGATCTTCCTCACATCTTATCTGAGGAATGTGGAAGAAATAAAATAAATAGAAAGCTTACAAGTCACGAGGTTTTATGGGTACTTAAAAGAAAACATGTGGTGTATGTCCAAAAGGAAGCAGAAAATTTGTGCTGAAGTGGGTTCAGTTGGGGTGTCAGAAAAAAACACACAAATCAGGCAAAAGCAAGTCTGTCTGCATGCTTCTAGCCTTGGCAATATCATTTTTCTATCCTAACAATAAAGACACAAAGGTTACAGGTTAAACTTGTTGAATCATCAAGAAAACAAAACCCGTTTTATATAAGTTCATTCTCTGCTGCCTGAGAAGATTTACTGGGTGTGTTAAAGAGATCGTTGTTGAGAGAAAAATGTGGGCATTTGCTATGGTTTGGTTTCATCATGTCATACAGTGCGTGACTTCTGCAGTGCTGGTACACCTCTATAAAACAGTTAAGGGTCATAACCTGATGTGGGACTATAGAGTGATTAGGGTGTATGAGTGTGTAAGTGTATGAGTGTAGGGTGTATGAGTGCTGTAGCTAAGGTACAGTATATGGCACAATCTCACAGGGAGTATGTGCTGTATATATACAGATAACCTATATAATTAATTGGGTATCAGTAGATGTATTACTAATATCAATGTGAATAGAGTGAATGTGAATGAGTACTCAATAAATATCATGAAAAAATATGGTTATTTTGAATGCTCAAACCTTTAATTGTACACATAAAACAGAAGTATGTTGTTACTTTTCAAATAAAACAAACAAAAGATAAGGTGGACTTAGTTATCCAAATTTTTTTTTTTAGATTAGCTTGTATATATTGAAGAGTAGGCGGAAGAGTGTCGTAAAGTAAATGACAAAGTTTTTATATAATATACAAGGATTATGGTTCTTAAAAGGGATTGTTTTCTTTAATTGTGTATTCCAATTAAAACAGAGTGATGAGCAGAAGCTAAGGTATGTGCCTAGTGTTGTGTTTCTTAGATGATAGTCATATATTTACAGTGGTCTTTACTCTAGCTCTCTAGTCTAGAACTTGGCTTACTCGGGTATTTCTGGCTAA